CTGTTTCTGTTACATTTTAGTGTCCATAGTTTGTTTGTCCTGGTTTGTAATTGTCTGTAAGCCGCCCAGAATAGTGCCTTGGGACTAATGGGGTAGTATATAAATAAAATATAAATAAAACAATGAAAAAAAGGAACCTTCCAAAGTTCATCTCCACTGCATTTAGCGCTGCAATTTTTTGCTGAGAATAGCAAGTACAGTATTTCCAAGATTCCGTTTAGACTTTAAATTGAACTGGGAAGAACTGGAAAATTTAACAGAGTCTCACTAACAGCAAACACCTAGTAAAAGACAACCAACACACCTGGGACTAGACTTCTGAAGTGTGTAGCAATCATGTTTCTCATCCCCAAAGTAGGCAAAAGTATCATACTTTATTCCCCAAATCTGAATCCCAGTCTCTCTGCTCCTGGTCCTGCTTTGACTGCAACACCAAAAAGGTCTTACAAACAAAAGACTTTGTTTGAGTCAATCCATCTCATGTGCAGTCTTCATCTTTTCCTACTGCATTGCACTTTTTCCGGCATTGCTGCCTTTTCCAGTGAGCTTATCTTATAATGCCAGTGTAGTACAATACCCTTTGCTTGGTTATTTTAGCTTCTATTGAGAGTCCACACTGAATTTGCTTTACTTATCTTTCTGACAAGTCATGATATCTGTAAATCTCTTTTCCAACACTACATTTCAAACAAGTGAAATGTGTGTATACACTTTATGTAGTGTATAAAATGTAGGTACACATTTTAAAATTTTGAATTCCTATATATAGCTGCTTTTCTGAGGGTAGCTTACTTTGGAGGAAACAAGCTCAGGATTTCAATGTACTTAATAAGCTTTATAAATAGGGTGCATTTAATTCAGTGTAGCATTTTGCACTTGACTTTCTTCTAAAAGAGCTGTCAGTTCGAGGAATCAATAAAGAACCAGACAGACAAAATGTGTAAATGACATGAGTTGTTTTTTCTAAACTAAAACCTCAGTATTCAGGTTTAATTGCAGTGTTGGCACTTCGAAATAATTTTGTTTTGTGTTGCCATTTGGGCACTCAGGCTCAAAAAGGTTCGCCATCACTGCTGTAGAAGGACAGACTGAGGCTCAGTGCTCAAATTTCCATGGGTACTTCTCTCTATTCTGCTTGTCTTGCAAAATGCAGCAAACTCAGAATCACACCTTAGAGGGAGGCAGGAGGCTTGTGACTTTGGATTCCAACAGCCCTCTAGCAGGCCAAGAGATACAGACGTTAAAACAGGTCTTAGATCAATCTCCCAGAGGCAGTTTGTCACCAGATGAGCATGTCAGAAGGCAAAGAAGCTATGAAAATGTGGTATCTGCTTATCTTAATATGGGAAGGTCATGATGAACCATGACATCTTTTAATATGTTACTTCAAACAAAATATTTTTTTGTGTTAAATACACGTTTCTGGCACAGCCTCACCTCAGAATGACTGCTACTAATATAGATTATGAGTTTGTATTATTACCAAAATGGATATTACACTAAGAAACACCCCCTCCCTTCCAACGTTCTTAATCTGCTTCCAGTTTCCAGGCACAGAGAAGGATGGCAGAATCTCACACCCCGTTATCTCTGTCCTGAGCCACCTAGTTACAGAGTATTAAATATAAGCTGGGAAGCTTGAGGGGAGAATACACATTTGAGAAGACAGCAAGATTGACTCCACAAGAAAGCGCTCACAGTGTGGTTGCCAACCTATAACCAAACCTGTGCTCAGCAAATCATTTCACAGTGTTGACTTCCAAGAAGCACACCAGGTAGTCTTTACACACCAAAGGCTTACTTTTAAAGTGTATTGAGAGCTAAGGTTTGTGGTTTAAATTCAACTAGGAAACAGATGTCCTAGTTATCATCACTTCTGGGTGACACCCGGTTGAGCACACCACTGACTCAGGCCTCTCTCTGCAATGTTAACATCAGGACCCAAAGGCAGGTACAAAAGTCACAAACTTCTGGGGAAGTAATAAACACAGGGCACTTCCTATCACAAGTCCTTTCCAAGATAGGCTAACAGGTGTAAGCAATGGCAGGAAGCAAGATCATTAATTTCAAGGCACTAATATGGTTTTACACCTTGGGAGTCACCATTAGTTTATTTCCTTAGGGCAGGACAAAACAGACTTTCATTTCCAGAAAGAGACACTGATGTTGATATTCAAAGACAAACAGGAAGCTCTCCTAGTAACCAATAAGATTCACCACTTGGAAGAAAACCCTGAATAGCATCCTATGAGCCACAGACATGGATCATGTGTCATCTCAGCTGGACGCTAGAGGCAGCTGCCTAAAACCAAGATGGGAAACAGACAGTGTGCATAAAGTGCTATTCAGAAATCACTGGCCGTAAGCAGGAGGTGCTTCCATAAACTGCAAGCAATAAAACTGTAGCTTGCACTCTTCTATTCCAGAGAGAATCTAATTCTATCCTGTTACAAGACTGGGGAACTGAGCTCCACAAGCAGCCAATCAGGGAACCAATAAAAAGCAGTGAAAAAATCTGCCAAATAGCATGCTCAGTTTCTCCTCACCATGCCCCCCCCCGGCAAACAACACCAATACAGTGTTTTGCTCTTCTTCCAGGACTTTGCATAGTTGTGTCAGAAACAGCTGTTACTAAAGTCCCCTCCCCAAAAAAGCAGTGGCAAAAAGAGACTCTCTTAAAAAACTATTTGTCAAACTAACGTGTGATACCTTGAAAGCACCAGTAAAACCATAAAGGAGGAGTGAAGTTAAAAGCCATAAAGGAGGAGTGTAAGAACCGTGCTTTTAAGGGAAAGCAGTTCTTAGACACCAATGGTTTAGTTGTCAAATATGTAAAAGTAAAGAGGATTTATCCCAGTGTATTCTACACTACTGACTGAGAACCCCTATGAAGAACAAACCAATAGTACCTTCCAAAAAGAAAAAGAGATAACATCAGAACAGAAAAAAATAAACAAACCCAGAGTTGAGCTATAGTAGAAGTTAGGATAACAACACAAACAGTAGGTAGCCTATTAAATGGGGAGGGGGAAAAAAAAGCAGAAATGGGGTTTCTCAGGTAGCTGATGCAGATTCAAGACTATGATATGTAAAAGGATGTCTTAAATTCAAATAGTCAAGGAAGTTGCCCAAGAGAAGACAGCATCTTCAGTTCTGCACAAGAAACATGTCCTGTAAGGCAGGGGTCCCCAACCTTTTTAACCTTGTAGACCGGCTGGGGAAGGTCGGGCACCCTCCTCGCTCATGCGCATGTGCGAGGAGTGTGCGTGCTCTCATGCGGACCAAGAGGGTGTTCATGCGGTCGCTCTCTCTCGTGTGCATGCGCAAACAGCGGCACACCGCTCAGGTGGGCGCTCTCTCTCATGTGCATGTGCAAAGGGTTGGGGAAGCGCTTGTGTAGGTGCTGGCGTGCACGCAAACACAAAACAACTGTGCAGGGGTGAGTGCGTGTGGGGAAGGGGGGAGGTGTGTCCGCGGCTTGGTCCAGTTCTGGCACCAGGCCGCGGACCGGGGGTTGGGGACCTCTGCTGTAAGGAATCATCTTGTTTTGGCTTTTCAAAAAGAGTCACAACCTAGCTTCTGATATTACTTCTTTTCCCTGAGATCTCATCTGTCTAAAGAGACCAATGGGAGCCAACAACAAGTCTAACCATAGGCACCACAATTGGGACAGCATCAACCCCTTTTGGAGCAAAGACCTAGTTACTGAATTGGTATCACCAAGGAACCATCTGAACATACATTTTGTGGGAACAGCCAAGCCAGGCGGCAGGTTGTAAGAACCTTGCAGCTCTCCCTTGGAGACACCTTTCAAAACTCACAGGAATCTGCTGATCTGGGAAGAAGCAATTTCACAACATGGCTGCTGGGTGAAGAAGGGCAAGGGCATAACAGCAGAGCACATTTTGTCTTGCGAGGGGTGTTGAAGAGCCAAGGAGCTGGACGGCTATCTTAAGATCTTTACAGTTATGACCCAGGGAGCAGACATGCTGTTTGTGGAGGTGGAGAAAATCAGACAACATGGAAATTTCCTGCAGCAGGACAGAGCTATGGAGACAAGACAGAAGTATCAGTGCCTGGATAAGTGAGTTAATGGTTAATACCCCAAAGGGAAAAGTGGAAAATGAGGCTTGATTTCTACTGGGTGCAAGAACTACCCTCAGCTGGAAGCCCCTAGGATTGAGGTGGGGGAACAGAAAAAGAGCCCCCCCTCTATAGAGATTGGAGGGGGAAGGTGGAAAGGAGAGAATGCCATCTCTTCACTAGAGCTATCTCTGACAATAAGGGAAGGGCAGGAACGAAGGAAGAAAAGCCTGTCCAAGATTAGGGAGCAAAAGGGGCTGCCAAGTCTCAGCCAGAGAGAAGCCCCATGTGTTATTCATGCCAAAGGAAGTTAGGAAGAAAGGAAGGAGAGCCTAGCTTAAGAGGAAGGTCAAGGGGCTGTAATTCTTGATTTTTTGTGTGGGGCCAAGGCCTGGATTAAACTCACCCCAGGGGCATGGCTACATCCCAGAAACCCTCCTCCATTTTGGCTGAACAGGTGAGAGCAGAAAGGGCCTTTCAGGTCCACAGGAAGCAGGGTGTGAGGGGTATAACCCCTTCCTTCTGTCAGCTGAGGCTCAGCCACAATGGCTTACTTACAGGCAGCAGCAGAGGTTCTTCATTTCTGGATTGCCCTCCCCCCCCCATACACCTCCCTGCAAAAGCAATACCAAAACGAAAAGCAGAGGGAAGAGGAGAGCGAGCCGTCAGTACCTATGGGAGCACTTACAGTCTCTCCCTCCCGGTGGAGCATCCGAACCAGGGCCCTTTGGCCTGTCCCTTGGGGATGCGGGTGGGGTGGGGGGAGCACATGGAGGAGCCCAGGGTCACAAGTGGGCCACTGGCGACCCCACAGGTGGTGCTGAGGGCCAGGTCCCGGCCTCCTCGGCCAAGGGGGGGAGCCCTCCTACCAGGACTGACAAGGAGGCGTTGCTGCCCAAGCACTCTGGAGAGCCGCTGGCTCGCTCGCCCACCCGCCCATCCTCCTCTCCGCATGGGCCTAACCTCGACCCCTCCGTCTGTTCCCCGCAGAACCCACCCCCACCCCACTCCTCAGGTGCAGCAGGGCGGCGACTACCACCCCCATCAGCCCCAGCGCTGCCACCAGCCTCCCGCCACCACCACGCTGGAGGGGACCCCGTGGGCTCAAGCGAGGGGGGGGAAAGAGAGAGAGACCCTCCACGAAGGCAGCGGCTGGGCTCCCCCCCCC